AACAAAAAATTTCCATTATCATCGTCAATTTTACATCTTCGTCAATCTTTCTGTCGATTATGTACACATTTTCGACAGCAATGTGGCTGTCGAATATAGTATTGTCGCTTATGCCGCGTTTTCCAGTAGTGTTTTGCAAAGGTCTCTACTTGAGATCCAATAAAGGCAGTACCTTGATTAGAAGTGATAGTTTCTAGAAGGCCAAACCTGTGGATCATATCCTCTTTTATGAACTTGATGACATGTCCTTACTCAACCTTCTTCATAGGCCTCGCCTCCACCCACTTAGTAAAGTAGTCCATAGCAACAATTATGAAAGAATGGCCTTTAAAAGGTGGATAAATCTTCCCAATCAAGGCAATTGCCCAGCTACGGAAAAGCCATGGTTTAACAATAGGATATAATTCAGAAGCTGGCGCTCGCTACAAAGGACCATGCAGCTGACAAACTCTGCAGCCCTTTGCATAATTAATGCAAGTCTTAAGAATAGATGACCAAAAGAAACCATACCTTCGAATTAGCCATCTCATCTTAATCCCTACCTGATGAGCACCGCAAATACCATTATGAACATTTAACATCACATGGCAGCTTTCATCAGGACCGAGGCAACGCAATAATAATTCATCCTGCCCCCAATGATGTAGGACATCCTCCAGTAGCACATAGTTTAAAGCTTGCATCCTTGTTCTCCTTAACAATTTAGAATTGGGATTCCTCAAATATTCTTTTATTAGATGCCTCCAATCTATAGGCGTGACATCTTGTGAGCATGCTTCCACCATTATCCCTCTTTGATGAATTGAATGCAACATACGTTTTTCGATGAGAATCATTTTCTCCAACATACCTTTAGGCATTTTTTCACTTGAAGCAATCTGCACAAGTTCATTTGCTTCAACATTCATGTTGCAAGGAATATGCTTCAAGGAGACATCATCAAGTTCCTTCAATAGCTAGATGGCAGTGGCAAAATATGGAGACAAAACCACACTTGTACACTTGTATTCGCCACTCAATTACTTGATAACTAACTGAGAATCACCTACAATTTCAATCGATGGCACCTTCAACTTTACCAACAATTCAAGGCCACTTACCAAAGCCTTGTATTCTGCTTGATTATTGGTGCGTTCAAAATCTAATTGGAAACACCATTGGGTTTTTATGTCATCTAGAGAAATAATAACAATTCTAGCCTCGAAGGCTTGATCAATGCTAGACCTATAAAAAAAAAAAAGCCAATTAAAACAAAAGAGATTGATTCCTTTGTCTTTATCAACGTTAACATCTAAACAAGGATGATCTATTAAAAAGTATACTAAGGCTTATCCTTTGACGACCTTTTGAGGGAAATATCTCAAATTAAATTTAGTAAGTGCAAGAATCCACTTACCAATGCGGCCTCTTAAAAGTGGCCGCGATAGCATATATTTTATGACATCAGTTTTTGAAACAACAAACACCTCCAAGTATAGTAAATAATTCCTCAACTTTATTGTTGCAAAGAACAAAGCTAAACACATATTTTCAACTGAAGAATGTTTCACTTCAGTCAGATTTAAAGCTCTACTCAAATAATAAACAACTTGTTCTTGTTTATTGTTATTCTCTTACGCTAGTAGACAGTCAATTGACTCATTTGCAACGAATATATATAGCAATAAGGGCTTATTTTTAACTGAAGGAACCAACACAAGTGGCTTGGACAAGTATTCCTTGATGGCATCAAAGGCGACTTAGTGTTGCCTCTCCCATTTAAAATCTACATTAGGCTACAACTTCAAAAGAGGTGACAAGACATGAGTCTTGCCCGCCAAATTAGAGATAAACCTCCTTAGGAAAGTAACCTAACCAAGAAACCTTTGCAATTCCTTCTTATTTTGCGATGGCCGCACTTCAATTACGGCCCTTGCTTTGTTTTTGTCCACCTCTAGGCCTCGTTCATGAACTGAAAAACCCAAAAAGTTTCCTACAATGACACCAAAAGCACACTTGAGAGGATTCATCTTCAAACTATGTTGTCGCATCATCTCCAAAATCTTTCCTCAAGTGCTCCAAATGTTCTTCCTCCTCGATGGATTTGACCACAACATCATCTATATAAATCTCCATGAAACGGCCAATCATGTCATGGAAAATTGCATTCATGGCCTGCTGATATGTAGCTCCTGCATTTTTCAACCCAATGGCATCATAACCCATTCATACGTACCTACTTTTCCAGGGTAGCGAAATGCCATTTTACATATGTCCTCTGTGTAATAACGATATGATTATAGCCACTATGCCCATTCGTAAAAGATAAAATGCAATGGCGTGCAACCCCATCAATAAGTAAATCTGCTACCAGCATGGGGTATTCATCTTTTGGTGTGGTTAGATTTAAGTTCGAAAATCAATACAGACTCTGAGCTTTCCATTCTTCTTCACAACTGGAACAATATTAGACAACCATTCTGAGTACCTGCTGTCCGTATGAAACCAACTTTGTGCAACCGCTCCACTTTTTCCTTCACCTTCAAAATCACTTCTAGAGACATACGGCGTGGCGGCTGTTTTTACTACTTATATCCTTTGCTGATTGGTAGTCTATGCTCTACCAACTTTCAGTCTAAACTTGGCATCTCAAAATAATCCCAGGCAAAGCAGTCTTTGAACTTATGTAATAAGCAGATTATTTTATCTCGCAGCTCTGGCGATAACAAGCCACTAACAAAAGTAATGCGTGGCTTTACCTCCATTCTCAGATTAACTTCCTTCAATGGATCTTGTACATTAGCCCTAAGGTTATCTAGCTTCATAGGGGCCAAATCTAACTCTTTCATCGTGACTCCGTCAATATGGGAGTTCTCCTCACCTTCATGTACCATCTATGATAGATTCGCTTCAGTATTTCTTTCAACAAAATAGGCCGCTAATTTCTTTAGAATTTCATATATGGCCTCCCTTTTTTCTTTGCTTATCCTAGACTTCTTCATAATAACTCCTCAATTTTGGGCTCCATTTGCGGCCTATATGGAATAATGGCAATAGGTCGTAAGAGTTCATTGCATACCTCATCAACCACATACTTAGCCAAGGTAGGCTTGTTGCAAGTAGTGATTCCAGAAGGTCTTCCTTATCTATCCATGCCAAAGAAACGAATCGTTCCAACATCTTCATCATAGTACCGCACTTCCACCATATTGGAATTGGCTAAGAACAATCTACTGTCAGCATAAACCACCTCAATTCTGCCTCCATTCTAAAAAATGAGTCTCTGATGAAGAGTAGATGAAACACACCAATTCGAATGGATCCAATCACGTCCTAATAATGCATTATAAGTTACAGAAGAGTCTACCACAAAGAAAGCACTCATTGATGTCTTGTTGTCGACAATAAGTGCAATCAGTAGAACTCCTTTTGATTTGCTAACACCATCTGTGAAATCACTGATGGTTACGTTAGTATAAACCAAGTCCTCAAGAATTTTTTCCCAAATTCCTCAACATGAAAGAAGGTATAACATTGATCGTTGCTCCATTGTCAATAAGGACTCGGTTCATTAGAGCTCCATCCATGTGAGCTTAAAGGTAGAGTGGCTTTATATGACGAGCCACACTTTGTTTTGGTTTGTCAAAAGTAATTTGTTTTGAAAGGGTATCAAACTCCTTCTCCTCTTTTTGGGCTGGAACCTCTGTCACTTCTTCCTCAACAACCATGCTGCCCTTGGAAACATGGGTAGGAACATGGGTACCCTCACTGCCCTTGGTTTGAAAAACCAAAGGAAGTGTGAGAACCAAACAAAAGAGATTAATAGAGATGTCCCCAATCTGCACAACATCCATGTCCTCAAGAAGATTATCATCACTAGTCAACTC